TTKKTYYWGSTWMCSGKKRWTTTTTGGTSCAGTWTATTTTCTTGTYACTGTTGCATATTATATATATTATAAACACTAAGCATTCAATATTTTGTCGACTTTCTCTACGTTACTAGCCAGTAATCTTGAAAACAGGCTTGAGCTAGATGTCATCTTTTCGACTCAAAAATATTCAGTAGAGTTATTAATGGTTCTGATCAAATTAAAAATATGAAAAAAAATTAAAGGTGGTTTTGCACTTTAATTGATAGGTARAATTGGCATTTGTCGAAACCATTAGGTCTGCGCGCGACTCTTAGATAGCAATGAGGCCCTGAGGGGATTGGGGAGGGMCGAGCGCCTATCATAGGGCCGCTACTTTTAGAGACAATTCGTGTTGTGCGGCACTGATCTCGCTCACTTTTACTACTATAACTTTACAAAGTCACTCAGAATCCCTTTGATATTATCTTATAAAAGTTATATGTTTGCTCAGCTACCATCCAATATTTTTCTGGACAGCAATGGACAAACATTCATTTKTGCACGAGCTATTGTTATGAAAATCGCACTAAAGCTGTATAAACTTCTAGCACGCGCTCTAAGTAATTGCCTACCATGTACATAGGTTTGAATCATCATTCTACCAGATACTATTTTAGGTTGTTATCATTATAACTTCACACTAGTCAGAATGATGCATGTCAAAATATCTGCGAGTGAGATGTTGCTTCAAAGTCGCCATATCGTCAAAGTACTACATGTCATTGCGTGTATCTGTACTGTGGTGCACTCAAAACTGGTTTCGATTCTTGCAGGTCTTTATTAGCTTTTATTAGGAGTATGTCTACGATTGGCTTTGCTGACTGAGTTGTAACCAACTGTGACCAACTTAAACCAACTGACAAACTTACCAACTATTACCAAAAACKTTTACAAAGYCTTGTTGAAAGTGGCGGGTTGTTTACCTAGCTGGTGGAGTGTTCAAACGTTGTTGATATCAAAAAGTGAAAAAATAAACTAACATGTTGTCCAGGAAGCTGTGCAATCATTGATATAGCGCTTTGACAGAGCCAAAACTAACGTGTTCCTAAATTACATTAAATGTGCAGCGAGTACGTAGAGCACTCTAAGCTATTTTGCATACAATCGCACAAATAAAGAAAACGTTTAGCGTGGATTTGGGAAATCGACGAACTTTCAATACACGCTCACCTAGTAGTCAAATCGTATTAAAAAGAGACGAATCAACATGCGAAAGATAGGCAAATACAGCCGAGTAAACTCTCTTCATAATTCGGATTTAGGTTCGTTCTCTGGATGCCCCGGGATGTACCCTGCGATTCAATATGGCCACCGTATCAGAAAAGATATGTCAGATTATATTTACAATTTCAACATGTCTTTCATAGACCTTTTCTGAGCAGTTTGCATTGCATTGTGATCTAGATTCAGCACAAACATCTTTAGTTCATGCTGCCAAATATATGGCGCCGTTGTTTGTACTGAAGCTAGACCACAATGCACCATAATTTTGTATTTCAGAAAAGATCTAAATCATTCACACCATTAACGAATATGGCTTCCGTGACGTCATGATGTAATCCGCCATTGAGATGCTCAACAAAGAACTGCAAATAATTTTACAAGTTTCACTTTATTATTTTGATATTGATCTAAATGATTAAAGCAATGAACAAATAAATGGATAAATCAAGAAAGCAAGTTTAAATTCAGTGTTGCAACTTTTTTAGGTAGTTATTGTCTTTCTGTCTTTTGTTATTTCCAGGCAGATTTTGATAACCTAAACCTGGCTTCATACTCTGAAAGCGGCACGATGGTCGACATTCAAGTATGTCAAGAAGGCACAGTTGTTGTAAGGTACGTATTGTAGTACGAGATCTTATGATGRAAGCACTTGGCGAAAATTTAAGCAAGTGCAGCGTTGCCGTTTACTCGCCTAGTCCTCGCACCTCTTGATGTCCTCTTGAAAAAAATACCAAAATTAGTTTTACTGGTTTCTTTCAGTGCAAAAAAGCAAGTAGTTAGTCACTTATGTGAATGGAAACACYCCACAAACTAATTTTGGTGCCGATTTAGAGGATATTAAAAAAAAGGCGCGAAAACCGCATTTTCCATCATGCTTTGTTCTAAAAATGAAGGCGGATTCCTGTAAATGCTCCAATAACAAGAAACATGAGCGGCGTGTGTTTAGGATGTAYACCAACCTCCAACCTTCCAACCAAAGCCTTGGAAATCAGTATTGATAATTAGTCATCCCCGAAAAACATTTTCGCCCTAGGTCCTTTCGCCCTGACTTCGTACTCGTCCGTCAAAGTGTGCGTGGGATTGGGCCCAAGGAAGACCATCGTAATATCATTATGGGCTTACAGTATGGTCACGTGCCTAGTGTTAACTCGTTAGAGTCTGTTTATAACTTTGCTGAAAAACCTTGGGTGGTAGGTATTGCTTCTTGCATTGCCTGCATTGCACAGCCACAGGCAGCCCAACGATTTTTAAATAATCATTTTAATAGTAATCAATAATGGAGATAATCTGTACGTTGCATTGACTTAWCATGTGGCTGGCATGCTCAGGGCTTAGCATGCGCGCATGCAGCCGAACTAAAACTTTTGTTATACTTTTAGTTCGACTGTGACACTGTGTCTGTCAACTGTTGTTACGTTCTAACTACTACTCCTCTAGAAATAAGTTTTACTAATACCCCAACTATTTAAATTGCGCCGTTATTTGGCTTGGGGTGCATCCTTTCTGAATGCTTCAAAAGCAATACAAACGTAGATATACGGACCTCTTAAACATGTCAACACRTAGTGAAGAAGAAAACAACGATTGCTTTTCAGTTTTCGCACTTGTTACAAATCAAGAAGAGATTARGCAAAGAACACTTCCCACTAGTAGAACAAACGTATTATCCCGATCATAAAGAAATGGTGAGTACTTAGAATATCAGGGGAACACATTAWTCAGTGGGTATTGATAAATTATTAAACGCTATCAAGAATGCCTTTTCAATGATTTAAAATGCCGAMAGTTTGACCATCRAAACATGAYCTCAAGGCGGAGACTACCAGATACAAAACCACTCTACATGTCGYGAAACATTGTTGCTGTTCAAGTGTTTCTCGGTTTTCATGGACCTTTGAAACTGTCTAATTTTTAATCCTCCTCTTTGTTCCACTCCAAATGCTGGCGATAACGAAGTTTTTTTGTGCTCATACCAGAACGACGAGAGCATTTAAAGCAACATCTAAAGCAACAACTTTGCGCGACAAGTTGAGTGGTTTTGTATTTCACTCAGATTCCTTGTTAGACTTCACGAGACTTTCTTCCTCTTTCGATACCATTGACTTTCTCTCGGAATTCGAAGACTACGTAAYATCGTTACAACTTGTAACGATATGATATGAATTATGATAACGCGTGATCCGATCATAGCAATAACCCTTTGTACTAATGACGTCATGTTGTTTTGGAGAAGAGCATTATGGTATGGTTAAAAGTATCAAGATGGCGGATGCCTCATTATAAGAACTTCCAGGGCGAAGTTTCTTAGCGCTTCGGCGTAGCATTCTTTTCAAGCCAAATAGATGCTCACAATAGAGTCTACTCAAAGTAGCATGTTGAATATAATAGGTAATGCTTGCTGTCCGCATTAGCAGCCTGTAAAGTGGCTCTGATCATGAATGGCTTTGGTTTGTGCTTTATAGTCAATCCCATAGTGCATTTCGCCGAACGTAGCACATGACGTCATTGTGTTACGACCATTGCCAATAACGATGGCATAATAATGACGGTTATCAGTGGTTGATAGGTAATTATAACGATATAGAGGTGTCAATGGCAAAAATTTATTTAAAAATGGGATGTTTCTGCGCAGAACGATTTAATATTTGGYTAGAACTAAGTCACCAGTAAACGAAAATGTTCTTTATTTACAAAATTATGACAATTTTCTTCCACTATGAAGACCCGATTTTCAACGTCGAATTTCTAATGTGCTTAAGAGGTAAAATTACGAAATAGTATTTGTATGTGCACGGGGACTGAATACGACGTCTGACTAAGTCCTGACTCATCAAATCACTCGAGTATATCATACCAATAATCTGCATTTTCGAAAGGGAGAGAGAGAAAAAACTACTACCTAACATCAGTTAGTATTCTAAATAACACCAAAACGCCAAAAGATCAATGGCAATTGCCCTTCTCTGATATTTGTCTGCATAAAAATGTTCGACGTATCACAAAATTAACATACTTCATCTTACAGTTCCCAGAACCATCTTGAACTGTGCGTTTAGACTTAAAAGTGAAATATCAGGTGACCGTGCAACGATAGATTTAACYTCTTATAGCTTCTTTCACACTTGTACAACAGAGCTTCTCACGACGAGTGCATTGCTAGGAGCGTCCATGTCCTTATATAGGAGCGTCACGATTTTCTAATAGACGTGTCCATTTTTAGATTTTACTTCAGTCGTCTCGTCATYAGTAGCTTCTTTGATATCATTACTTCAGAAATTAAGACTAGAAGACAATTCGYTTTCACTATCCTCCGCCACGTTTGTTTATTATATTATTTTGATTTCCRTCGGATTTCCCGCGCGCGCGAAATATCTAAAGTGACAGCTCATCGGTCGTACAAAAATCTAAAAATAGACACGTCTAGGAGAACTCTGTGACTAAACCCATCACATATCATGGACGCTCCGAGTAATGGGCTTCTGGYCTACGATAATCGCCATGATGGATTTTGATCTTATCGTAATGCAAATTAGCGATCTTYCATAAAACAGCTAGCTACAATTAAATGTTAGATTGCGATAAGGACTTGGGATTCAATCAAGGGATTTGATTCATGCAATTCCTGTATTGAGCATTCYTAGTCCAAGAACATCTCCGCCCATAGTATCTTGGTTGACAGTGCTGATACTTATCTCTGCACTCGTTTGCTGGGCCGCCTGAGATATCAAAAACACATGCCATCTTTTGTCTTCTCGCTTTGCGGCAACTATCACCGTAGCAGATCGCGTGCGTACATTTACAAGTTCCACGATATTTTCGAGCAAATCCAGAGCGTTGTTTCTTMGTTATTTGACTCCATTCCTTTCTAAAATCACAGCCTGAGACGGAAAGCTTCTTTTTTCCAATAAATCCCGTAATTACATACACTTTTCCGACGGCAAAGTCCACTCGACATGAATTCATCTTTGACGGGGTGTATATCTTGATGCTGTAGCTTCTGCGTTTTTTCCCATAAACTTGGAGACCGCCGGTCTTACGTATCGCTGCAGATCCTTTGTAAATCTTTGTGATACGTAACGTATATACTTGATACGTTAGAAACTGCGGAGGGATGCCACGTAAAATGCGGTTATCGGATGGTAAGATTTCTTCAGGTCCTGACAGGATTTTTCCTCGAATAACTGAAAGAAAAAAATKAATTAATGAATATYATAGCGCAATAATTATTAAGAAAAGGGAACAYGATGCGTTCAAGTCTCATTAATGGTGGGAYAATATATTCATCAATATAATCCTCCACAACACATCATACATCCTACAAACTTACTTACCAAAACACACTAAAACTAAAACATACACAACATTATACCCTACTATAACGTCACAACACATTACATTGCATCCTACCACGCACTACTACACTACGTCATGTGTAAAACTACAACACCCAATCATATCGTGCACAATGCTACAATCGCGCCTCAACATACTGACGAGCCTTCCACATTGAACTCACAGCATAACATATTGCACTACACCACGCATTACTGCTCAGACGTGATACATTAAACCACACCATACCATACCACCAGGCTCCGACATACCTCAACTAACTTCACCACAGACCACACCACACCATGCCCAAAACCACCACACTACACCCCGACACACACAGCACCACACTACATCCGACCCCATCACGTTACGCACCGCAGCCACGCCCAGAAACATTTGAAGGCGGCGTCTATAGTATGCTTGCTCTTTCGCTACTGTGATATGAATTATTGGGTTCTCGCTATTCTGTAATGTGTGTTGATTGTATTTTAATGGACTTCTTTGGGGTGGCCATCGACACCCTGACCTCTCTGTTACAAAAATCACGTCTTCGTGTTTTTCTTTCACAACTGATAACAAGAGTTATGTTTATGTAACAGAGCCCACCTTTTCTTCCTTGGTGGCCGATTAAATTAAGCTATTTTTGTTACTCTCTTTATTTCGATGAAAGCACGCTCTAATGCTGAGAAATAAGTCTCCATTTTCSATGCCGTYAAGTTATTTAGCTTGATTTTAAAAGTTTTTTACAATCGATTTATTTGCTATCGACTTTCAACTGCTCATATCATCTCACTATGRCACTAAGCAGTCCGTCATTGTCATTGAGTTCMCTATAAAACATGGGAGCCTGGAGACTAATACCCGGTCTTTTTATCTGTTCCGACAAAGGAAGCTCAAATTAAGAAAATTGACAAGTTCCTGCGGAAAATTCAAGTCTTAAGGTCAACACACTCAACTTTTGTTTACTCCGAGTAGACAATAGTGAATGGTACCGTGGCACCAGGGAAGTCAGGTTTGAATTGTTTTGAATAAACAGTTTCATTTGGCGTCAGTTTTGACKTTTGCATTTCAAGATGACTCCTAATATAGTCAAAACGTACCTCTAGTTTTTCTATTGCAAGTCGTTGACTGTGTCATATTAGCCGAACGTGCTGGAAAACCAATTGTTAGTCAGATAAGGTTAGATAAGAATCGAAAAGTATCCAAAGGTGGCAGTGAATATCCTCTGTAGATGTTGGGTTGGGCATCTCAGTAAAAAAATGTCGTTTGAATCGGAAATGTCCTGGACCTTCTTTAAAATAGTAACCATCCTATTGTTTTGATACGTTTTTGATATCGTTTAAATATCAAATGATTTAATTACGGGAAACCACGAATAATACCCAGACAACCGCAAAGAAGGATGTCCTATACTTTCATCAATTCAAAATAATTCAATTTATTTATTTTTTTACTATGAAATCCGTACTGCGATGAAAATATAATAAATAATTTACAATAGTCCAGGAAATTCATTTAGTATACATTATAGCTCTTGAAACAATTATTTCAGTATTTTGTTCTGTTACCATAAGACACAAATGCGTGAAAGCATATCAATATCTGATTTTTTAACTTTGGRGGAAGAACAGAAATTATTAATAAACGAATTATTATTTCTTTTTGTTGGAAGTCATGATTTGCTCTTGGACTTCGGATTCAAAAAAAAATCGTCAGTCTTTTTATAGTATATTATAATATGTCATCAAGGTAGCCTGCTGATCAAAAAAGCAGAGAATTAATGGCATGAAGGTTTCGCACGCGGTCTTTACCAAAGATCACGAACAATTACAATTTTGATCCACCCCAAATCATAATTAACGGAACCCATTATTATACTAATTACCAAAAGTAAAGGAAACCCACTTAATTAAATCAACTATTACAGTGTCTAGAAAGGATATTAACTGTACTCGCTTTTACAAATCAGATAATGTTTTAAAGGATAGCTGGGAAGAAAACCGTGACCATGTAGACAATTCGAGAGCAGTTGCACCCCTTAAAAAAGAAAAAGGAACAATTCGAGAGAAGAACCAGAATAAAAATGTGATTTGAATGCTAACGACATCCACATATTAATTCAAAATTTAATAAGTAGCAGCCTTATTTGTAGTGTCATCTATGGGCTTCTTGGATTAACAATTTCAAAAAAGAAGTTTGAATTGGATTCATGAACGTGAAAAATATCGCCGTGGAAATTGAAAGCTTTTGAGTTATATTGCGTCCTATATCTATATCTACTGGCTGCTTTAGTGAATACTCTACATTCCCATTTTCGTTTTTGTGCATCCTTCCGTAAAATGCCMCAGTTAATTATGATCCTGGAGTTTGCTTTGAAACCAAACAGGATTTTTTCTCACGCGACCTTTATAGCCATAATTTTTCAGGGAAGTTGAATGCTCAATTCGTATGTATGTATTGCATTATTGTATAGTCAATTGAGTGAGTTTTTATGCATCATTGTAATCATATTCTTGAGAATTTAATAGTTTTTATATTTTTTGAAAAATAAGATTTCGTGTCCTTGATTGCTTAAGATGATTTAAAGCATTTTTCTAACTCTAAGTCACGCCCTTTTCTTTGAAAGTTAACGCTTGCTGATAAAAAAGCAATTTACYTCACTTATCCTTTAACCAAATCATAAAATTTCAATTCGTTAGTGATGGATGTTATGGTAATTGGTTTTCACTCAATAATTAGTCAAATGCGACGAATTTTAAGTTGTAGTTGGTTTTCTCTTGACGTGACTTTGGAGATAATTGTATCGAGTTGTTAGCGGGGACCCGCTGTGATTCAACACTAAACCAGGTGAGAATAGCAATCCCCTCTCACGCGATAACTTKCTTCGATATTTTGACAACACAGACTCGATGTCTGTTGGAACTTTCGACCTACGTAACCCTTAAASGAAAATACTTACTGAAACTGTATACTATCACGTAGGAGATAATGCAGTTTACGTTAATCTTTGCCAGCAAATAGTCAAAGGTTTGCGAAACGGGTCGCGCAATTATCACAACTTACTTTACAAAAAAAGAAAATATTTTGTACTATATACGAGCGAATTTAAGTGGATTAAAGTAGCTAAGCATAWGAATTATTTGCTTTCTGTTAAATGGTTTTCAGGTTTTGTGTTTCGGCTTTAGGAAATGCTATAGATCACTAGTGAAGTATTTAGCTGACAACAAAAAACTATAATTATTAGAAGTGTTTGATCAGAAGTAAGATACTTATGCGTTTTTTAGGCTAATTATTTGATCGATTATATTTAGCTCGTTTGGAGGATTAATGTGTCTAAATTCAGAAAGTTCTATTGCGGACCAAAGTTGAATTGCAATGAAAATATGTATGATATTATTTTTATGTGACCAGCGTGGCAGTGTTCGATTTTTCCTCATAAAACTATTGTTATTGCATCATGAAGCTAAGACAAAGTGAATATCAAAAAACTAAAAGCCTTGTGTAAAATAGTGGGCTGTATAATCTACAGGTGAACAGTTTAATTCCACTTCAGTTTTAAGTTTATATTTACTCACCAAACTGTGCTCTGCAAAAGTGYCCTTGTGGATGTGTAGTCATACAAGAGCAACACATGCTCACGGAGAACAAGCCAAACAACAATCCTGCGTAGAAAAGGAACGTCATACTTGTCAACTTAGAAACGSTATGTGAACTCTTTGCTGCTTTCGGTATTGGAGTAATTATCCCGCTCAGTGCAGACTCTACTATAAATGGAGTGCTGTAATTTGATATCAAGGCTGTAAGAGGCTGTCAACAAATCGGCTCCCAAAACATTTTGCGCTTCCTTTTATCACTGGACTGCTCTCAGTGTCGACCTTATATGTAGACTGGTCGAAAACATGCCGTCACTGACAATTTTAGAAACCAATTATGTGGCTGAGAGAATAGAAAGTACTCCGCGCCGAATTATTTCAATACATTACGTGAAAACGCGTCGGTTGATCTCCAAGCGCGTTGCCTGAGACGTGTGGGATGCAAATGGGACGCGTGGGATTCAAAATGGAAAAAAACTTGAAATATTCCGAATTCCTAAGGAAATGGGTTATGAGTGAATAAATATTCGAATTGTAAAGTAGTGTTTATA